GTAGTGAGTGTGTGTGTGTGCTCGAGTGTTAGAGTGATGCGTGTGGGATATCCAGGGTGATCCAGTGTATGTGAACAGTGAGATGTTTGGGCGCTGAAGTCGCCATAGCCAATTGAGAGCGAACTCGTATCTGAAAGCCATATCTCTGAGTTTTGAGTGGCCGCATGTCGCTAGTATGCTGCGTTGCTGTTTACATGCATGAAAAGTGTGTTTGAGAACGAGTCTGATTGCACAAGTGGTAACCAGCAATCAATGTCAGGTCCTAAAGGTAAGTCTATTTGGATTTTTAGATTACTCTAAAACGGAATGCAATGCAGCAAGGATTGGTCTATCCTATCTGCAGTTGTCTGTCAGTCGTTACCGAGTCCATGCAACTAAATAATCAAAAATAAAAGTAGATTACCTGTGGAGATGCATGCTGGATGGTAGTTCATTTAAATTACTTTCTCAGCAAACAGTTGTCGGAATCCCAGTATCCCTCTTGAGTAGTCTCTTGTGTCGACGTCCTGAGCATCTGGTTGAGCAGCGTGTCTAAAGGTGTGCAATCCGGCCCCCCCCTGCGCCCCAAGTCTATGCTGAACCTGCTAGCCCTGCACCTTGTTTACCCTCGCGTGCAACGAGCCTTACTTCCGATTGATCTGGCTGATCAAGAGGCAGTTTAAGGACAGCCCCCAAGGTCCTCAGGAATTATTTAACGTTGCAGACAGGACCACGATCACAGCCAGGGTTCAACCGTAACCCGCCAGAAATGTTTATAGACGGTCTGGTAAGCATCTCTTAAAGGGCTGGCATGCCCAGCATGACCTCTATTGCATAGCAGCAGAACCAAGGACTTGCGGCAAAGCATACGTGTACTAGTCTCAGTGGGTTGGAATGGTGACCGTGACCCGAGTGCTTCGTCCAGGGCCCTTCATAGGCTTCGCCCGTCTCCCGCCAGCTTGCTGCCCAGGAAGAATGTCGACTCTCAAGGTTGAGCGCTTGCAACACCTCACATCGAGAGGACTCTCAAGACAGAACTCACTTCCTCATGGTAAGAAGCAATGAAGAGGGTAGATAAGGAAGAGATCAATGTACCTCCATAGATTTCTGACCGGCAACCTGACGTGCATTTATGATGACCGGTCCTTGCCTTGGCACAACAAGCAGCGAAATGCAGTTCCACGTCGGCTTAAATGCCACATCAGCGAGCTCTCATCATCCAGCAGACATCCCAATGTCACCACATAGCCTTCCCGGTGCGCCCACACGACCCTGGGCCACCTATCGTCCAATGCCCAAGCCTTATCACTGTCCCACACCACATGCGACGCACCAAACAGCTATTGCGAAGAACCAGTAAGTGCAGTTCGAACCAGTTCCGATACCAAATTGCAAGGAAAATGAGCAATAGCGAGATGACAGAATCCAGATTGCAAAACCACATTGAAAGCAAGAAAGTTCCACAGTGTCCAGAAAGTAGCATTGCACCAATAATACACCAATGGAGAATCGTAACATTGAAAACCGAATGTCAATGAGAGCTTACTCTCGTCATCACCGACATTATAGTCCAGGCCCTTCCCCCTACTCGGCGCTCGGCGCCCAGACTACTCCCCACACAGCTACTATCTGCTTATGGATTGACAATGCAACTGTTGACGTCAGCAGCCACCGAAGTACATCAAGATGTAGCCAAATCCACTCCCTTTGTACTACTAACAAATACATACGAATGAGCATCATTAAGAGAATAGACGATATGAAGATCAGAAATGAAATGAACGGAAGTATGAAGATGAAGGACGGACACAAAGACTGTATAAGCTGAAGATCTGAAGTGAAATGAAGAGGAGTATGAAGCTCTGAAGAGAGGCACAGGAGCATACCTTCCCTTTTACTCTGCCTCCTGAAATAACGTGCAAGTGGGCCATGAAGGCACACGGGGATGTGGGCAGCGTTGTGCGTAAGAGGCACAGTAAAAGGGGAGCTGCAAGCACAATGAAAGGGGTACCCCAAGGACAACCAAAAAACTGTCTAATTATAAAATTGCTTTAATATGTTGGACATCTCAAATGCTCTCATTGTCTGCAATAGGACAAAGACTGCTTTGATTCTGAATCTATTCACCTGGGTGGAATTGGGGCTGTTGTGGGGAAAATCTATGACCCGCCTTCTGATTACCTGATGGAGACCCCGATTGAAGATCATCTCTCTCCAGACCGCATACTCGAGCCAATTGATGGAGACGGCAATGAGTCTCCTCCACCTGTGCAATCTGTAGAATTGAACGAATATCCCCCTGCCGTGAACAAATCTCCCGTGCAGCCTGCAAAATCGGACGATATCATAGCGCTACAGCGAGGCCACTGTGCGTACTATGCCATTAATGTACGTCCCCTTGCTTACAATTGTAACCCTTCTACTGTTTCTGTTTTCGCAGACGTTGGCCGCTGGATAGAAGAAGAGCACTGTGCCGTCTGCCCAGAGGACGACAGTGCTGCACCTGGTGTGAACATAGAAGTGTGGGAGAGGCTAGCAGCAACCATCCCTTCATAGTGTTCGAAGCAGAGGCTATGTCGTGTGCATGCCAACTGAACTGTACCTGTGCGACGACACGAAGGGAGGGCACAACCAGCATTGTCCCTTCACTGTTTGTGGTAGAATCAGCCGGATTGCTTTCCGGGAGGTGCAGTGCTTGCAAGTGCTCATCGACATACTGTTCCTGATGGACAAGCCAGACTGAGTGATCCTCCACCATTTGGTGATAGAAAGAGTTAATGTTTCCCGCTGTGCACACCCTACCGCCACTGTCCCATAGGGTCCATCCGCAAAGGTAAGAGCACTGAAATGACCTGGACAATGTAAGATACATGCCCGAATATTCAGGTCCATGCTTGGCACGTGGTTTTGTGTGGACCAGGGTGGAATTGTAGTCACCTACCCATAAATCCTGTCTTGTGCTCATCCCCCCCCCTTTCTGATTACCTGGCCAGCATGCTGTTGTGGCGTTGATCTGCCATGCTTAAATAACTGTGCACGCCAGCCTTCCATACTGATGACATGTCAGCAACATGCCATATGTCGTCATTGATTCTAGGAAGCTGTCATAGAAAGTATGTGTCTTTACTGCGTGGACTATCCCCGGTGCCATCATCCTCCACATCCTCTCCTAGCATGTCCCACATGCGGTGTTGGTCATACACCTACGGCAACTGCAGATGGATTTCCCTCTTCCTTGCCAGAGGAATGACAGACACAGTAGCCCGAGGAGGAAAATAGACTTCTATATGAACCATCTGCAGAGCAATGTGCTGATAGTTTATCACCACCAGGACGAGCTGTTGTGGACCATCCTGCAGCAGCTGAACACCCTTGCTTTGGACCGATCCTCCCTGTCACCGGCTGCCCATAGAGAAGGAATAAATGCTGAGGAAACCCAAGAAAGATGCTCCATGCCGCTTTGTGATGACCTGCCAGAGATTCAACTAGCGTGTGGTTCGCATGCCTTGTATCGTAAGGATTATGAAGGGATAGTCCATGCGAGTTTTTGCTTTCATACGTACGACAACAGTCAGTACTGTACTCATGTACGGCACCGTGACATGTCATGTCCAATTTGTAGACACGGTCTGGAATGCCAATGTCCCTATAACTGCGGTGGACGTGCCTCCGTGTTCCCAGCATGTAGGAGCCACGTAACCTGTACATCTGTCTGCGCCGTGCCATTCGATGCAGCTACTGCGACTGCGAAAATTGGATGCGGTGCTTCCACAGTCCACGCCTGAACCAGTCATGTCCCGGTCTGTAGGGGTGGCCACTTACCATAGGCAAAATCTTATGCAACCCAAACACTAACCAACCTCATGTGCCATTCTAGAGTAGTCTGTTCCAGCGGTGAGTGTTTAGAGTTCTGTGCAGTTCGTCATACACCTCTCCCTTGCTCTTTGAATGTCATACTCTATCTTGCCCTTCACATATTTCTCTCCTTCCCTTTGCACTCCACCTCCCCCTACCCCACACTCCTAAAGAACTCCACCTTCTATCCCTTTCCCTCCACCCTCCCCTCCACCCTTCCGTCCACCCTCCCCTCCACCACCTTCCCCTCTTGTCCTACTAGCAAACACATACAAAATGAGCATCGTTAAGAGAACAGACGGTATGAAGATCAGAAGTGAAATAAACAGGAGTATGAAGATCTGAAGAGAAACACACAGGAGCATACCTCCCTTTTTACTCTGCCTCCTGTTATAATGTGCAAGTGGGCGGTTAAGGCACTGCGGGATGTGGGCAGCTGCCGCTCAACCACAATCAACGTGGGCAGCCTTGTACCTGCGAGGCATAGTAAAAGAGGAGCTGTTGCCCCAAAGAAACCCCAACCAAACACAATTCAAAATGGTTCAATCATGATACATGTTGCTTGCTAAAGAGGTGAATTCTTTAGTTGTTGGGCTGGCTCAATGAATCTACATGTCTGGGTGGAATAGGGGCTGTTGTGGTGGAAACTTACAACACACACACACACACACACACACACACACACACACACAC